GCAACTATTCTAGAACATTTAAGGTCACCCATCATTTACATTTTTAATCAATGTAACAAATAAAGTTTTACATTGAATCCATCTACAAACTTCTTAATGTCTAATCATTGTCACTCCCATTCTGCTTTCAATGATTAAGCAGGCTTGTATTCTCTGTTTGAGCGACTTGAAGCTCATGAAGCGTAAACCTGCATTAATGGATTTCTTGGCCATTTGGTGGAAGGGGAACTAGCTGTAATAGCAGCATTAACAAATGATCACCTTGTAGGCAAACACATTAGTGATTAGTTGCCTATTTGCACATTCAGCAGATACAGAGCACTCTTAGTATTTAGCTGGGGTCGTGTTGGATATAGTTTCCCCTGTTTGAGCTCTGGTTTAGTCTCCTCCAACTAGTGAGGAGAAAAACTGGGCTCTGTTATTTGCTTCAATGTAAAGGATGCAGGATGAATATTTGAATGTTTGAAAACTCAACACCAACTTGAATCACAAAACAATCAATTAAATGCATTTGGAGTTTTCAGCACTAAACTACAACCTTGGGACACAAAACTCTAACCACTTAAACTTCCAGACTGGAAAGAAATTTACCAGTGAACTTGATACAGGTATTAATTATGTTTCCTCGAAAATTTAAGAAGCTGAGCAGGTAGTTCTCAAGCACATTTTGGAAGAGATAGAGATGTCTCAATTGCCATTCTGTCGACTCGCTTTTTATGTTCATGACCTCACAGCCACTGCAGCAAAGGTTACTTCCCTTTCTCTGAAGTCGATTATCTAGTTCTCTTTCCAAAGTCTATTACATCAGTTCTTGTGGGCATGTAAGGCACAGATTGAAAGTTCACAATGGCTTCCGTCATTGCCAGCAAAGATAAGTCTGCCGCATTGACTGTCAATAACATGGCAGTCTCCGAGCAGCTTAGTGGGAGCTCTCGTCTTGTCTTGCCCCTCTAAGCCTCAGAGGGGGCCGTGTGGTGAACTGGCAGCCACAACTGCTTTCATCCATTCTGTGAGAACTGAGTAAAGTTCAGTGGCATTACAAGCCTCTACCCGGTAAGACTCAGAGTAGCTGGAATAAATGCCGTGGCTGAATCAGTCTCACAGATGATACAATTAGCAGCATAACGCAGATGAATGTCTGCAGATACTGTGGAGGGTGTGGTCCATTAACTCCTGACTCAAAGCTCACGTTCGTTCGGATCAAGAGCCAGAGCAGCAACAGAGAGTCTCTCGAATTTGTCTGCCAAGTTTTTCTGCGTTTCAAACCACTGGGTGAAAAGTTGCCAATTAGTGGGGTCATGATTCGAACACTACTCCTTCACGGCAGCCGAAATCTTTGACAGAGTGGTTTGTTCAACAAAACATAATTTATTTATACAGCATGTTCAAAAATGTAGGAGCATGGCAGCTTTCTGCCAAACACTTATTCATATTTTGTGGAGTAAACACGTCCAAGGCCATTACTTGGCAACTCCAAATGATTTGGTTTAAGTGCATGAAAATTAAACCTCTTTTCTCAATGAAAGCACTTTAATGGCCTTCAATTTTGTGAATTGGCATTAAATTAACCAGAGCCAACCCGATTTTGACTTCAGAGGGTGAGACAAGTGGTGCATTAAAAACACTCTCGTGTCTGTTCACCATATCAGAGACCATTATGAGAGGTTTTCGATGCAGATGTCTTTTGGCAGGCGTTCTTCTGCATTAACAGCTTTTGTTCATTAGGACCCACGTGGTGCAAGAGTGTGAAAACTGTCTTGGCTTCGACTGTTAAAATGGATCTAATCATGTCATTTGCGTTAGAGCTGAATATCAAATATGACTTTTTCATTAAAACAGGAAGCGTCACCATGAAGTTTTATACAAATTCTAAAAAGTAAAGTAACAAGCCAATAACAAGCGTATCACTAATCTTTCTTACTGTAGAGTAAATTGAATTAAGGAGTTATAAACCATCAAATCATTTTTACTTTGCATGTAAGATTAAAAAAAGAGCATAATCTGCTGACTGAATGATATTGAGCGACAGTGGAACAGTGCACCACATGTGAGCAGCCTTAATACCAACACATTTTGAAGAACCCCTGAAGGTCTGCAGCTAAAAATAAAACCAGGGCTAACTTCCTGAGCCAGAACACCTGTCCTAGACACACTGTTTCTCCTGGACCTTCTTTATCACTTGTCCTTAACAGAAAGAGAGAAAACACCTAGAATCTGAACCCAGAGGAAAATATCTTTACCAGTTCATCCTAAGATGAAACAACCTCAAACCTTCAGATGTAAAATATCCACTCTTGAATGATTAATGCCTCTTTCATGAGCACAGACTGTCGTAACTATATTTGGCAGAGCTTAGTTTTGACAAAAAAACATCCTTGGGCGACAGGGATGGGAATCATAAGTGCAAAGGAAAGAGAAGTGTGGGGGTTGGATTCTTTGACCAACCACTATGAGGCAAACCAACTCCTGAGGAAATTGGACCGGGCCCTCAACTGCAGGCAACACAGTGATTGGCTATGGAGCTCATTTGCATGCTCCTCTCATCTCCGGCACACTCTCAGGAAGCAGCGGTGGATAAGGTCACCGGTGTCAGTCTGCCAGTGCGCAGGCCGAGAATGTAAACGGATCAAAGACACAGCAGCTGTTTAAGTGAATGCAGGAGGAGCCTGTGTTCCCGTGTTGTCATCTGAACGATAATGACCTCAAATTCGTGGCAGAGGTGACGGATATACTACGAATCAGATATCAGTGGGATGTTTATAATTTAACTGCTTTATTCTACACATGAGGTAAAAACATCAGTTATGACAGAAATACAAATTGTGCATTTTGTTAAGTTGTGATTACATTTAAATTAAGTTAAAATTGCCCATTGAGCTCTGGGATTTATTCATCATCCATGATCAGTTATGGCTTCACTGTCTAAATGAAAACCTGTCAGAAGATATTTTTCAGGAAGGATCTTGGATGCGTTTGATTCCTAAAATTAAATGTTCATATTATTTGATAAGGTGAGGCTTGTCTAGGACGAAACGTGTTTTGGTCGCCCTGGCCAACGTCACATGTTCATAATGGCAATGTTAATATTCTGATGTTTGGCAAGTAATGTTTACTAGTTGACTTTTTATTTGAACATGTCAACATGCTAACATTTGCTAATTGTCTTGAATTCCAGACTGAAGTTAACCTGGACGTCTGCATAACATTTAATTGCAATCTATACAATCAAGACTCTTTACTCAGAATTACAAATGTCAAGTACAATGCTTGATGAAAAGTGAAAGGAATTCATTAAGTTGTTAAGATTCATCATCTGGGAACCATGAACCTCTAGAACAGTAGGGCTCTGGGGGGCTAAGAAAATCTTTTCTAAGTTTTATGGAAATCCTTCAATAGTTGTTGATGTTAGTTTTGCACCAAATTGGTGAAGAGACCAAATCACGACGGTCTGAAACAAACTCTGCAGAAAACTCAGATGCTAAACGGTGCAGCAACAGTGAACTGGGGATGAAGCATCAGGTATTGTTGTGTCTTTGTCACAGTGCCAGAACAATCAGGATCAACCACCAGTGTCACGAGGAACAGATCAGGGGATTTTATCATGTGATAATTCTGTGCTCTATCATCAGCTCTCTTTCAGCATCAGGGTAGACACTGCTTTAATGTATCATTACCGTTGTTTGCCAGCAAAGTGATTTGATTATCTTCTTGTGCCCAGACATTAGTAGTTACAACCACACAGAGTAATATATGTGCTGGGTAACGAACAATGTGCAGTAACGAACGTAAACTTTCGATTAAAAAAACAAAAATGAAAGAACTATATTGCGTGTAAACTAAGACAACATGTGTAAATTACATGGACAATAAAGTGACATCTCTTACTACCAGCAGTTACTGTGGTGAACCGACTCTGATGTCTCTTTGTCTCTATGTGTCTCTTATGTTCCATGTACTATGTTAATATTGTGTATTCAGGATCATTTTACTGGCTGATAAAGGTTTTTTTTATTTTTATAAAGCTCAACAGAACACGCAACTGGAGACCGGCCCTTTTTTTCGGTCTCAATGCCATCTGGAGCCTCCAGAATAAAAACTCTCCTTTTAAAGAGGCCCATTTTAATTGGTAAATATTTACTTGCAGGAGCTCTCAGCGGGCACGTGCACGACTGCTAATAAAGCACTTTAAAGGCCATGGGTTCTTGCTGCTTCCATTGAGTGCGATTCCAAAAAAATGCAACCTGGGGTTGAACTGTTGGTAATGGTTGGTAAGGGCCAATGGAACAAGATGCTGAACACTGCACTGAGCATGCGGCACGCAATGACTGTGTAATTGTTAGAGTTAACGGTAATCCTCCCTCTGACTGCGTGTGTGTGTGTGTGTTTGCAGTCATTTGTGCATTTGCGTGTGTGCATGTTTGGGTTTGGTGACAAAATCTAGCTTTACAATATCGTCTCATAGTTGATATATTTCTATAAAGATATACAAACTGACTGCTTTTCAGGAGTCAGACGTGACAGATGTGAAAATATTTTAGATTAAAGAGAGAAATAAGGTTTTTTTTCAATTGTATGCAAATATTTGCAGAAGTACACAAAAAACCTTTCAAGGGAAAGTTTTTGCAAAGACGAAAAAGTCGATGTTATTTCCTTTGCATCTAAATAATTTTCGCCCGTCAACAGAAGAAGTATTTGACAGGAAATATCAGTAGCTTTGGAACACACACACACACACACACAAACATCTTCTCAAAAGCCTGAGTCTGAGTGAATATGTACCCACACAGACAGTACATGTTTATATATAATAATATATTTCAGTGAGTACATGTGTGCATCTGTCTGCAGCACTTCCTAATACACAGCGAGTCTGCGTGTACATTAATCTCTGCGGCGGCTGCCTTGTATGTGCTGCTCTCTATCCCTGACCCAGTGCGCTGTGAGATCCTGCCTACAGCCTCATTTGTCTCCATCAGGGGACAGGCGAGGTTACGACTCACCAAAGCGCAGTACGTTTCTGGCGGATCTCCACACGTGATATTTGGGGGGTCGAGGGCCACTCGCAGGTACTTTGTCATGTCGGTGGCTTCCGGTTGACAGGCCATGTAGTCCCATGCCAGGCCCTCCTCTGTATAGATCTGGGACTTGCACACGTCATAGTGTCCCCAGGCTGCTGGGTAATGTTGCATGGTGAGTGCCACGCTGGTGCAGACGGCTTGCAGCGCGAACAATACGTGCCAAAGCATCGCTGGTTTCGTTCTGGAGGACTTCTGAGGAATTCTTCTTCTTGTTTTGACTTTACAGCTGCTGCTTCGTCACAGCAACAACACAATGACTGAGAGTTTTCTAAATTGAACGGTGCAGTGGAGGATTTGGAAACTGTGGCAGCATGTTGCTACTTCTGTGTCAGCAGCTCCAGGCGACGATTAGCCCCCATTCGGTTATTTTGTCTTTGATTGCTGCCTCTTCTGCCTGGTTGATGAGGTGTGTCAACAAGTGAGCTCCTTCAGAAGAGTTGATGACAGGGTCAACTAACGGTCAAAGGAGATGAGAAGAGAGGAGTGACACTCCTCATAAGTCAGTGGCTGTCAGATGTCGTCGCTTGATCTCCTGTCAGTTGTGCTTCTTTGCCACAAGCGGCATCCTAAAGAACAGAGGAAAAAGACGGTCTGGTGAATAAAAGACATCACACGAAAACACAAAAAACATCAGGAACACTGTTCAGAAATATTAACATGGTTTAAGGGCACTGATGCGTATAAACAGAGGGTCTCACTTCCTACTAGCACCTGCACGTACATAATATTTAAACAAACACAACGCAGGGTCTCACTGTTTATATGCATCCCTCAATAATAACCTTGCAAAAATCACTATATAAAATTCAAATCAAGCTGGTTCCACGAAGCCTAATCTCCATTTGATTTTCATACAAAAAGGCTCATTTCCATGTGTCAAGTCACTGCATTTAAGCTATTGCTTTTTTCCGGCTCTTGCTCCTTTATAGCCCGAAAGTGGAGCCGTGTTTGTCCCTATGCCTTCCGAGGCATTTGGGAAATATTAAAGTAAAATTGGGAGACAGAAATGGTCTATTTGAGGGATTGTACGTTTCTCCGAGCTATCACAACCCATCAGTCAAATGGCCTAACTCGTCAGGTAATGGTGCCTGGCAGCAGTCAGTGGAGACCCACAGCATCTCAATGTCTCACGTAAAAATTGCATGTGGTAGTGGGGAGAATAAAATGGAGCAGCTATATGCGGCCGCCTCACACGCAGTAACGACACTGTAAATAGGAGTTAAGTTACTGTCAATGTGCGCAGACGGCCGGAGGTCTGCTCCTAATGAAAAGAAGTTTATGTTCCAAGAAGTCACTGCTCGGAGAGACGTGCTAAGTTTAACTTTCTGTCCGTGCAGGGGAATAATTCTTACAAACATGTACAGTTCCTGCACAGAAAATATGCCTTGCTCAGGGGCACTTGTCGAAGTGAAAGCATTCCTCATTCTGGAGCTGATACACGCAGTAAGTTTCCGGTCAGCTGCTTCATTCTCTTCCCTTCAGGCTGCAGCTGTAATAAATAAAATTCCAGTATCCTGGGGTTTGAAGAATGTGAAGAGACTTTTGCATTCAGAGAAAAGAGCTGTGTTTGGATTTGTGTCAAAAAGATGGAAGTTTCTGTCAAATCAAATTAATGAATGAAGGAAACTTAATAAAAAGACTCTGTGGGAAAATGTGGGCAACGTGAACTCTGCTTAATGTGTGGCTGTGCCACACATACAGGCAGGTTCCTGTGCTCCCTGCTGGCGTATCCAGGCATGAGAATTTAGTGCTCTAATTTGGCGATCTTGTCTTGGACTGAGAACTGAATGGGTTTTGACCACATCTAAGGCAATTACTGCTTTTCCTGCTCCCAACCTAATGCCCCTTTTAAAAAATGACTCCGGGCCTGAATACATTACAACTGTAATGAAAGACGTTCGTCTGAGCCAGAGAAATTATCTGTGCTACTATTCAGACTCGGCAGACCCTTCAAAGGTGTATGTTGGGGAGGTATTGATGCCAGGCTTCACTTGACAGACATCTTGTGGGAAAAAGAGATGGAAAAAAAACCAAGAGTGAAAAATTTTGGCTCTCAAAATGTGCTCATGTCAGTTCACAAGATTTCTAAGAGGAGGGCAATTACAAATTTGATAAGACGGCTGGAGCTCGGGCGTGATGAATATATATAACACATATGTCAGTCCCTGATCAGGAATGTGTGATGAGAGGGTCCACTCTCATCTCACACATACACACACACACACACACACACACACACACACACACACACACACACACCCCTTAATACATTATACAGAGGTTGACTTTCATTATAAAGGTAGTCAAATTAGGTACCAGCAGCAGGGTGGTGGAGGTTGCCCTATCTTATTTTTATTTAATAGGGGACGTTCAAAGCTAATAAGCCACGGCTAATGGAGCTAACCACAGGAATATTGGCTTTAATTCATGGACACCTGGAGGAATGAAATCTATACACATGAGAGGCAGGTGTGAGGATCTTCGGCGGACCTCCGATATAATTCAGCATTAAAGCACTGCCAAGAAGACAATAATGGAAAAAAACTATTAAAACATATATCTGTAGAATATTCCCACACACAGTTAGTGTTCTGACACCATTAAGAAAGCCACTTCATCTGCTTTTATGCTTTTATTCAAAAACATCAGTGAAAGCGTGTCTGTGTTATAATAACTGTGATTCGTCTGCGGCCTTTGTGCTGTCCTTCATATCTCATATCATCAGGCTCTTTTCACAAAGCTAAAAATGCAATATACAGCAATATTACTACCTCCGACTCTGGTTTCCCCTCCTCTTGTCCCTGCATCTCCACCGCACGTTCCAAATGCGAGCAGAAACTCAGGAATGTCATAATTTCGCAGTGAAATATATGAGGTCAGATTCTATATTAAAAGTCATCAATATTTGAGCAGCTCTCCATATGCGGGGGGGGGGGAGTTTAGAGCTTGGGGTGACCACCTCTCTCTCTCGCTCTCTGCCTATCTCTTCCTTCCTCTCTCGCTCTCCCAGTCTCTTTCCCCTCACTTGTTTTTGAAGCCTCTGAAACACCCCCTTGTGTCCGCTTGCATTCCATCCCCTATGGCAGCTCATGCATGGCAGAGTGTTTTAAAGTCAGCAGGCAGCCGTGCCCCGTGGCTCATATTGGTAACAAACTCCCAGCCAGACTCTTACAAAGCATGGCGGATGTATTCCATTCATTTTATAGTAATCCAGCTACAGTGTGGCTTCGCTGTCTGTCTCTGAGTTTGTCTTCATGTGGGGGGGGGGTCCCAACATTTACAGAACCTCAGATTCACTGTTTTGCTCCATGCTGGTTATAAAATGCATTTCAAGACTGTTTTGAAGGAGAAAAACAAACCAAAGACAGATATTGACATGGCAGACTGATGCTCTTTCTTTGTTTCATCCTGCAACAATTGCTTTTTGTTTTTCTTGTCTTGCCATCCTGCGTCGAGCACCTGGTCAGGAAGGATTTGGGATTTGCACACATGCAATGCCGCCTCCTTGTGTATATTGATTTTGCTGACTTCCAACCAATAACTCTTGATCCGTTGCCAGTGTGAGCAGACCGATGCTTTGTGGCTGCGTGAAGAGTGCAACAATAAACTGGTTAATGCTTCCAACGTTCCCCGAGCCAAAGACCAACCCTTCCATATGAGTCACAGTGGGATCAACTGGCAAACACAAGCATGTCTGTACTGGCACATATTTATCCTCTGATTGTGTTTCTCTCCTCCGTTCTTCCCTCTCTCTCGGTCCCTCATTCAACCTCCCATCTCTGCTATTTCTCTTCCCCACTCTATTTCTTTGTCCCTCTCTCTCTCAATAGCAACCGTCCTGCTCTTGATCTGTAAGTACATAAAACATACAATTATATGTCCCAAGGCTGCACCTGTAACCTCTGAAACTGAAGCCCCATTACCGCTCTTTCTTATTTACAACAAAGGCAGGCTGTGCTTTCCTGCAAAGAGCTTTTTCTCCCAGAGAAGAAGTGGTTGTGACAACGTGAGGGTCCCTCTGTATGGAGTCCAGCCAGCCTTACACCACCTCCACGTAAATCTGCTGCCATGCATTATTCACAGTTCCTCTCCAGAATGACTCAAATGCAAAAATGCAGAGCATGTTGCAAATATTTCAAATCCAGGACATTAACAGTAACATTCATGCAGTCAGAATCACAGGAAAGAGAAGCGAAGCAAAAGTCCAAGAATTCTACATTTGATTTGGTCAAACACCAGATTTGACTTAAGATTAACAAGGAGAGCAATCACGTGCTGTAGTTTGGATAATTAAGAGAAGCTTTGTCTGTTGTGTTCTGGGTCACATTTTGCGCAGAGGCGAGGCTCACATGTGACTTTACTGATCTGCTGCGCAACAGGTTAAAGTGACACTGTTTCACGCATAACACGATTAGTGCTAATGAGGATACATTGGAAACAACAGCAGCTTTATATTAACTGGAAACAAATCCAGATTTACGAGCTCCCACATATCTCACCAATCACAGTCTCCTCATTACAGTGAAACTCTTTAAAGAGCGGTGACGTGGTGGATAAACTGTGCAGTGTTTTATTCTGTTTCATATCAGCTGCTCATTCCTTATTAATTTCACTTCAGACCTGATTACTGTTAACGATCCGCCCATGAAACAGACCAGTGTAATTACCCTGCTCTGGCTCGTTTAGTCACAACTGTCCCCATCATACAAGCGATGATGAGCCAAAAGGGAAAAATGCACAATTTGAAATCTCAAAACGCAACAATACTCACGCGTAAATCTGATCCTGGGACGAACTCATTCAACAAGTTATCTACCGAGTGTGGCTGCAGAATGATTTTCACTTCTCTCTCTCAAGTGTTCTTCTGATTTCCCACCAGATTGAAGTGAAGGCGATGTGTGCGCAGGAAGCGCGCATTCGTATGGATAACACGAGGTTTTCTCTTCGTCCCAACTTTTCTTTTCAACTTTTGTCTTTCGCTAAAAAAAAACGTCTTCTCCTAAACCACAGTCTTTCACATCAACACTTTCACTCTATCGCGCTTACAAACGCCGACAGGTTCCGTCTGGCTTCGCACACGAGCGGGTTGACTTTACGCAGCGCTGCCTTTGGCGCAGCGTTCATCGGAATGGCGCACGGCAAAGACTTTGGATTCACCGAGATCTGAGAGTCATTAAAGTCCATCAGCGCGTATGAAAACACATCCGGAGAGAAAACTCTTTGGGTCGTTTCTCAGCTCGAGTTGAAGACGGGAGAGGAAGAGAGAGAGAGATAAGAAATCTTTCCTAAACGGAGCCAGTGTCCAGTTACATGTGAGCGCTCCGCCGGGTCCTAAAGATAACACTGACTGGTTAGTGAATCTCAGCTTCAGCCCTTCGTTTTACCTGCCTCTTAAATTCCAGTTAATGAGCCACATATTAGAGTAATTTATTCCAAGAGGCGAGTAAAGAACTGTAGTGGAGTTATTTGTTCCTTAAAATGCACATTAACCGAAGTAAGTCATTTTATCTTGCTGAGATGAGTCGTGAAATTCCACATTTTCTCAGTTTGGGAATAGTTACAAACTCTTGCATGGAAAGACTCGACATATTTGCAGCGACACTAAGGTGCAATATTCTATTTGAAGTTGCTCGATAATTACTCAGCAGCCGAACATGTCCCTCACAGACGCACTGATGCCAAGTGTTTCCTAACGCCAGGCAAATCTTACCTATAAGTAAACTGTGAGGGTTTTTTTTTTACTGTCACATTCCAGGAGCAGGAAATGAGGCATTTGGAGAAAAAAAGAATCCAAAGCAACTTAACAGAAGCGAGAGCTCAGGGCAGAAACCCACAGTACAACACAACCAGGATGCAGCAAGAACAGATTCTCAGAGGAAGAAAGAACCAGTGTTTGAAAAATACAATATAATTTGGTTGTTTGCCTGAGGACAGATTATTATCACTACAGCGGCGCTTCAACAGCTTTGGGAAAACAAATAATAATAATAAAAAAAACCATCTTACCTTTCATACGAGAAGGTGAAAAGAATGAAAGTTCGCTGGAGGAAAAAAAAAAGAAGAAGAAAACTCCTCTTGGTTTAATTATTCGGTGGATTTTGTCGGCAGAGCTGCAGGAATAACTCGAGTGAAGGTGCGTGCACCGGGCTCCCTTGGCGAGGAGTCACAGATGTCACCCTCTCCACTACAGGGTGCCACGCAGCCCGGAGAACAGCGGCGCTGACAGGTCGCTTTGAACGCGCATTTTAATTGTGCTGTAATGACAACTGGTGTGGATCGCACGATAAGAGCAGCCGCGCCCAGCCGAAGGTCACCGCAGTAATTGAGCAGACTGTGTCCCATGTCGACGCCACCACAACCTCACAATAACCGACTTGTACAATCTCCACTGTTTTTTTTTTTTCACCTTTCATTCATATTTCTACATGGGCGTGCGGAAGGGAGTGTTTTCTTTTCACATCCAGCACCGGAGTCTTTTCTCCTTCTTTCTCTCCCCTCCTCCATGTTTGTGAACCGTTTAAGGAGAAATGTAAAAGGAGTAAACAGCTCTGGGTTCAAATCTCCAGGTTTTGTCTCGTTTATCAGATTTTTAACCGTCTTGTGAAATCTCCTCGTTTTCAGAACCCCGGACAGCTCCCGCGCCTCGTGGGCAACTTCAGCACCTTCTGTGATTTCCAGATGAAATGTTGCTCATTGAAAAAGATGTTTTAAAGCTGCTGCTGATGATGTAACCAGGTTATTATAGTGAAATATAGTCCACCCTTCTCTTGTGTTTACTCACCTTACACCCAACATTCTTCTATTTTATCCCACAATTCAACATTAGACCAATTGGAATGAAACACCTTATTTCAAAAGGGTCAATTTGACCTTCTACGTTTTTGCCTCATTCCATCACTTCCAGAAACCATATATCCAATCTTGTTTCTTTTTGCAGAATGTAAACTAAGCAGCTAAGTGATTCAAATCCCCCCCAAACAGCACTGCAGCCCGTATTGATTTCTAGACAAATTAATATGCAATGAAAGACCTGTCATCCCATTAAAAAGTGACAATTCTGTTTCTGTTCTGATAAAGGCAGATTTTGGTCGGGGGGGTAGAGAACGGAGCTGAATGACAACAAGTCTCTCATCCCCACGGAGGTAAGTGGCTCACGTTGTATCAGACGGTTCAGCCTTTGCTTGGAGCGACTGCTGCTCTTGACATTTCCATTAAATCATTCCTCCTGGAAATATTGCCATACCACCCTGGCACTCACAGCCATGACGCTGCTCACTCATTCTGATTCTGAGCAGGATGGATAGACAGATACAGTAGATAGGTAGGTACGTACGTAGGTAGGTTAGTAGGAAGAAAGATAGAAAGATGGGTGGGTATAGGTTTGGATGGATGGATGAATAGATATATGGATGGATGGATTGGTAGATAGATAGATAGATAGATAGATAGATAGATAGATAGATAGATAGATAGATAGATAGATAGATAGATAGATAGAGTAGATAGGTAGNAGATAGATAGATAGATAGATAGATAGATAGATAGATAGATAGATAGATAGATATATAGATAGATAGATAGATAGATAGAGTAGATAGGTAGGTATGTATGTGGGTAGGTTAGTAGGCAGAAAGATGGGTAGGTTTGGATGGATGGATGAATAGATAGATAGATAGATCGACAGACAAATAGATAGATAGACAGATAGATGGTTAGATAGATAAAGCTCTGCATCTCTGAGTGAAATGCTAACCGCCCGAATGATGACAAACAATGTAGTATGAATCTCAGTTCACTTAAAACCAGATATATCAGCCTTGTGATGGCACTAGAGGATAATGAAGACTGTAATGAAGATGGGGCAGTGTGAGTATCTTAAGTTCATTTTATTTCAAACTATCTGATAGTTGTAGAGATTCTTCTTGAGCAAAATGGTTGAACAAAGACCAACCAACACTATCCCTAGAAATAAAAATCCAGAATCTCATACCTCAGCCACGGCCCAGCTGGTGATATGAACTCTGCACCAAATCATTCATGTTAATTTGGACTTTGTTCTGAAACTACTGAACAAACATATAAACAGTTGGTTCTTCAATGAATCAACATCATCTCAGCAACACATTGGGAAAGTGACATGTTCGTAGCTGACATCTGACACAATCCAGATTTAAATGAGCTAAACACAGATTTTCATTTGAATCCTCAACATATGTCACACTCAAGGATATCAGTCTCCTAAATATATATACTTTTTATTTTCACCAAGATGCATTCCCTATATCTTGTGTGTGAAAAGTGATCTTTCAGTCGTCCATCTTTGCTTTTCTTACATCTTTTGATTGCATTAGCACTGGTGCAGCCGCAGCTTTTAGACCAGAGTTCACTGAATATTGATGTTACGGTGGTTCAGGACGATGGGAGTAAAAAATGCTGCAGGAGACGTCTCTCCCTACTCTCTCCCCAGCCCCCTCCGGTCAGAGGCTGTGGGGTCAGCTGAATGAATCCACAAAGCACGCTTGAAATCACATCAGAGCGTCAGGAATCCCTCCATATACCTGCTTCTCGTTTTTTTTTTCCTTTTTCAGCAGAGTGCTTCAGTGTACGAGGGGGAGTCAGAGGTGGAGCCTGCCCTCTCACCCTCTGCATGTCCTCTCCCTCTGTGCCACCGTGAGCCCAGGTTGACAGAGATGGAGGGCTTGCTGTTTGATTCGGCTCCCAGGGGTCTATTGATAGTTTCAAAGTGGAGTCCCCCCGCCACTGCTTTAATCATCCGTGACCCCACCTGCATGTTGGAAGACCGCAGAGGGGGATGGGATCAGCAGCCCTGTACGTGTGTATGTGTGAGCAGTCAAGAGAAAGAGGAAAAAGAAGGAGAGACGGATATAGAGGATAAAGAAACATTCAGACATACAGAGATAAGATGGAGTGAAAGAATGAGTCCGTCGAGCCACTTTTCAACCCTCATGTGGATTGAGACCTTCTCCACACTTGCTTTGTGTTTTTCAGAATAAAACTTTTGTTCTGTCCCATCCAGCTGTGGGATTCTTCTTCTCATGACGCCTTTCTGTTGGGTTTATGTTTTATTAGTTAATCGGGTCTTTCTCCAGAGGTGGAGCAGAGTGAATCAGCATGCAGGTACAACTTATGGCTGCCAAATTAATTCAATTTATTCCAAAGTCTTTCTTAAGGCCAAGGTTGTAATTATGGCATGCAATTAGAGGGGATATAAATATTAGATAACTTCCAATTAACTGTCAAAGTGAACCGAAAAGTTGCTTTTATTGGTGATTTACATAAAGATCTCCAGAGTGCTCCTGGCTTTAATTAAAGCAAAACTCATGCAGCACAACAAACATCACATTGTTGAGTGTGGGTGAGCTGATTGTGTCACCAAACGTCGGCTGATAATTGGAGCGAAACGTCACCTTTAAATGACAATCTGGGCGACCGTGTGGTGGCAGATGACAATGCGTCTTCACCGAGTGAGACACAGATGTGAAATTTGAGTGAGTCATTAGCACAAGTAAAAGTCTCTGTGTACAAAGAGCACGTCCACACTTTCTGGAGAGTTGTGCCGAAGCCACTGCAGTGCAGCTCGGAGCTGGAAGTGATCAGGAAGGAGATGGGAGAGTCAGGAAACACACTCTGGAATTAGTTCAAGCTCTGCAGTGTGTCCGTGGGTGTGTGTGTGTGTGTGCGTGTGTGTGTGTGTGTCCCGGGGAAAGTAATGCTCACTTAAGACAAGTGTGTAAACATCCTTATTTACTTCTGTGGTGAACTGGAACACATAAAACTTACTGAGGTCAGAACTTTCCTCTATCATATCATATTATTAACAGAGACAGACCGTTGGCTTCACAAATCTCAGACTGTTGAAGTTCAGACTCAGAAAAGTTTTTACTTGTCCTGTCAGTCCCTCCACCTGCTCTCGTTCTTTGCGCCTGTCAATCAGGGACATGCATGAGAGCG